ATATAATTAAAACTTGCAGCTCGGCATTGTGACTATATTACAATAAATAACTATTCTATAAAGGTTTAATTTTTAACAAACTATTGATAAACACAAAAGTTTTTAGTTTACTTGAGCATATTTATGATCAGTAAAATACAGTATTTATTAATTAATCTACATTCTCTTTAATTCAAGAGGATGTAGATTAATTAATGCCGAGCTGCAAGTTTTAATTATATTATTTTTAGTTAATTTATTTAATTTAAAGTATATGTTCTCTCCGTTTTAGTAGAGCCTTTCCCTGCTAAATAAATAAAAAGAATGGTCTAAGGAACATGTATTTAGATACATGTTCCTTAGACCATTCTTTTTATTTATTTATTTTTTTAAATGAGAAATAAATTTAATTGTGACAGAAAATAAAATCTCTTTACAAATTTATAAACTTCTCTTTTTGGGAATTTATAAATTGATTGTAACATAAATCTTCAGTATTTTGAATTAGTTCTAGAAATCATAATGCATTTTAAAAAAACAAGTAATTCTGATCCTTATTGAAAAGTCTTAAGAATTTTGCATCAGTTCTGAAGATGGTAAAGCATCTTAACAAATGTTTGATTTTGATTTTCCTGTTGCTAGATCCTCAGAGTTTAGCATCAGTCCTGAAGACCGCAAAGCATCTCAATAAGCATGTGATTCTGATTTCCCTGTTTCTAGATCTTTAGAGCTTAATATCAATTCTGAAGATTATATATAATGCCTGTGAGCATACCTTTTATTCTAATTTTTCTATTGCTAGATTTTCATAATGCACTTATCTGTATATGCAGATAAGATTTTCAGCATCAAAAACAACTTCTATTTATTATAATATAAATTAATTAAAATTTTGCAGTAAATGACTATAAATTAAAAAGAAAATTTTTAACATTTAAAAAAATATATTTTCTGAGTGTAAAGATGTGAATTTAATGTAATTATAATAAAATATATAAATAATTTTATAAATGAATCAAAAACAAGAGAGTGAGAGAGATAAACAATTAAAAACAATAGATCATTTTATTACCACAATTTTAATTAACACTCAATTATCAGATTTTTAAACAAATTTTTACATTTGTTTTTCTTTCTCAATTTGGAATAAATTATCTTTCTTTTTAAAAATTTAATAAATCAAATCTACTATTAAAATTTGTTTTCTTTAAATATAAACATTATATATTCTGGCCAACACAAAGGAATGCAACAAATATTTTATAGCATTGTCATCACAATAAAAATGATTATCATTTAATGATGATAAACTACAATTTTTTTTTAATAGAAACAACAAAGTTCAAAAA